TAACTGCATGAAGAACAATCTACAAAATGACATAATGAGATTATCAACAAGGATACTCTCTGGAACGACAGTATCCTATTTTTTTCAGATTGTCTGTACTGTTAAACTATATTCAAGAATCACAAGCTAACTAAATAGTTAAAATAGGTATTAACCAAAAGAATATAAATAGGGCTAAATGAAATATCTAACATAGGTTTACAATGTATATTAAAATTAGCTTGCAAAAAGGTAATGAAATTCCTATGTTTGTAACTACACAATACACAATATGCTTCTCTTCCACAAAACACTGTAGATCCTCAAGAAATGTAGGATCTATGGTCAAATCTTTCCAAAACAAAGTTAAAACTTAGTTACAGATTTATGTGATCTTAATTTCAAAGCTTCTATACTGATGGGAATGATTGGTACAGTTGAGTCTGAACTTCCAGGAGCTGTATTTTTAGATTCTTTTAGTGTAGTCATCAGTGAGAAAGGAGATAGGAGATAAATTACCTCACCCCTTCATTCCAGTTGGCAGAGTAAACCCAGCTTCTGAGGTCATCATATGGTCTGAGTAAGACACTGCACAGATCATTGGAGTGGCCGATCCCATCTGGCCACTGTTAATGGCAGCCTAGCAGGGTGGCCATCTGACCTCGAGTGCACACCCTTCATTTTAAGCAAAGTGCTTTAACTGAAAGAGCTGAGTCTCACTGGAAATTTCCAGAGAACACAATTTTTTGCAAGCCTGGCTCTGATCAACTATAATGTAAGACATTTTACCCCTCATTTCTGGCTAAGGGGAAGCAAGGTGGGCAGAAATACAAGCATGGACACTCAGTCCCCACTATTTGTAACAGGGGGAGGCTCGGAGCTGAATAACAGATGTAGATAAGACAAATCCCCAAACAGTGAGCTCTGCCAAAGATCATCGGGGTAGACTCCAATAGTGGACTTGATTTAGCACTTTAACAATATATCACTCCACTCTGGTGATGTAAGAAAACCCCTCCTGGTCCCATGACTTGGGAGTCTGTATCTACCACAGTGACACCAGCTGAGTACCACCTTTTTTTTTTTTGAGTATGGACTATTCCTTCTGTCGTGAAGACGTCTTCCCACAGCCTCTCATTGTAGCCCTCTGCTACCTCAACTGAAGACATGACAAATACTTTCTTTACCCCAAAACTACCTTTATAGCATCTCTACCCTGTTCAAACATATAGTTTTGTATAAGAAAACATGGAATTGAATTCCCCTTAAAGGAAGTGTCTCTGAAAATCAAGAGAATGACAGAAACAAAATTTCAAAATGTATTATCCCTGAGGGAAAAAGGAAAAAGCTTGGAAAATTTTTTTTTTAAATACAGTCATGGGCCTCCCTGGTGGCGCAGCGGTTGAGCGCTGGGTTGCGAAGCTGCCCGCAGCCTCTGCAGTGCCGGTTCGATCCCCGGCTGCTCCCCGGCCACCGCTCTGGCTCTGGTGAATTCTCTCACCCTCCCGCGCTTCTGACTGTACCCAGTGCTTGTATAAATAATAAATAAATAAATCATTTAAATAAATAAATAAAGTCATATTGACTTTTGCAGTCAAAGTTTAGAGTACTCAATTTTCAACTTCTTCTAATATTTCCCAAGTTGCTATGACTCCTAGAAATGGTGTATAAGAAGGTACCATACCACAGAATAAAAACACAGATTTTAGGTTCAATTTTTGACTGCCACTTTTTAGCATGTAACCTTTGGAAAATTACTCAATTCTCTGAGCTTCAGTTTTCTCATCTACAAAATGGTAGTAACAAAACTCAGATTAATTAAAGCAAATATATGTAAAATACTTAGAATAAATGTTGGGCACAAAGTGCATATTCTATCAAAATTACTATGCCCGTGCAGAAGCCCTGTTACACATACTTTAAATAAAGACACCGAGGTAAGCCAGCCTGCCACATAGTTCAGCTCTGCCAGCTGGCTGGGTGGGCAAGTTTCACAAGCTTTGAACACAGCATGTTCCTGTTCTTAGGTTCCATGAGGTCACCCAATACCATTCCACTGGGTATTTATAAACAAACATCAATGCTGTTGTGCCATCCACAATGCTGGAACAACAGCGGCCAGAGAGAATAACAATTAAAGTTGCACCTTCACTCCTTCGCTCTCCAGCAGCAGCTTCTGGCTGGGCTGAGCAGCTAAGAAGGCTGCAGTTCTGCCGGTCTCCCACCCCCAAATTAAAAGCATATGGGGCTTATAATTTTCTCTATTTACTAAATATTTTATGGAGGGGCTATCTGAGGAGAGGCATCTGTGTCTTTCACTCATTCCTTTCCTAGATATTTCCCCAGTTCCTACTCTGTAACAGGTCCTCATCACGCATCCGGGAAACAGTGCAGCAAGCAAACAGGATTTGCCACCACTGAGGTTGCCAGGCTAGTGAAAGCTCTAGATTAGCAAACCCATTTCCATCATGATAGTCCTGGCAATCAGAAAATTAAGATTTATTTTTCTAGCTTTCTCAGCTTTTATATAAATTTAAATTTTATATAAATTCTCTGATCCTGAAAGTCAAATAAAGCTAATGAAATGTATCTTAATCAACCTTATTACTTACATCAATGCTTCTTTTTGACTCCGTCTGTTTACCATATTTCTTTCTCAGAAAAATAGCTAAGCAACAAATGATGGCACTTTCCATTCTGACTTCCTTTTATTAACATTAAAAGTTCAATGACTAGTGTTAACTGCAGCATAAACCAAGATTTGGTTAACAATTTATTGTGTACAGTAAATTTAAGATTAAGTATAAATCTATACATAAACCCTTCACGTAATCCCACATAATAGCAAACATATTAACTTCAAATTAACCTGACATGCACATAGTATGTTCATCTGTAGCACTTTAATAAAATTAAAAATGTAATCTACCCTCCAACCAAAATTCTGGTGTCTTACTGTTGTTTTCTTGCATTATGTATATCTTTGAACTTTTTCTTATTTTATTAAGTAACAGTACAAATTAAAAATAAAGAAAACGTGTGAAATTTCTACTGCTTGTGGATAAAAACAAAGTGGACAAGAGAGAACACAGATGCATCAACCACCAGAGAAAAGAAATAGAAAAACCATGACAATATGGGCTTTCAAAGGTCACAAACAAGAAAGCGTTACCAATTTCAAGGGTTAGTAACCTGTAGCTTCCCCCTATGTTACAATATAAGAGCTTAAATGTATTCATCGCATTAAGATAAAAATTAAGAACAATCATTACCGTTAACTGATCAGTTACTATGCACCCAAAATTGTTCTAAGTGGTTTACAGCAAATTTAATGCTCACAACCACTACAAAATACATGTGACCTCATTCCCCCCCCCCATTTTAGACAGCACTTTTTAAAAAGTTAAGAAATTTGCCCCAAGTCATAAAGTTGCTAAGAGACAGAACCAAGATTCAAACCTAAGCAAACTGGTCAGAGTTTTACTCTCTTAATCATCCTATTCTTCTACTAAAGATAGCAGGAAATGTCCATCAGGCCCTAAGTCCAACCTACTGAGACCAGAATTCATCACATCTCATACTACTGTTCCAAACTCCAACCCACCAGTGTCTGTGAGGGTGAGCAGAGTGCAAGCAGGGTCGTTACTAAGGAATAAAAGAGGCTGCAGAGAAGGAAAACCATGTTTTGTTAAGCAATAGGGAATAACTTGTTTAACTGATGGCTATACTGTTCTCCTGATGAAGATTTATTTGTCCCTCAGATTGCATTTCATTATTCCCAAGCAGTTAGGTTAGCATTACTTCATGCCAAGCAACCCTAAGTACAAACATGGGAAAACAAAGCCAAATGGCACCCCAAGATTGCCACTACACTAATTCAAAATATGCTGAAGTTTCTTAAAGATTCTAATTAAAAAAACAAATTATTTTATACCTAACATCTCAATATGCTCAATAAGAACTCAAACACTTGCTTGAAAATATCTTTAAACTGAGCTGACAAGAAAAATAAAAATTTAAAGAAAATGTTTTTAAGGACTTTCCCTCCCAACCTCTTAGCTACTAAAGTTGCTGTTTTTGTGCAGGAACAGAAAATGACTGAGACTCAGTGAGCTTAAGAGCGTTTCGATGAAGAGAGCCTAGTGGAAGCTCAGGGGAAAAAGCACCTGGGGAACAAAGTCGGGCGTCAGGAGGTCTGAGCTCGCTGTGTCAGCTCCCAAGGGGGCTCAGAACTCAGCCCCAGTGTGAGTGGGACCCAGCTCTACATCTGGTGGCCCTTTGAAGGCAATACTCTTTGAAAACAAAACAAAACCTTCTGAATAATGTTTAATCTTTGACACTCAAAATCTAAGCTTTTTTTAAAAAACAGTCAAACTTTTTTTTTAACATAGAAATTCAAAAATAACTTGCCAGTTTATGTTCACTGAATAATAAGGAAACCAGGCCAAAAAAACCTTCCTAAAAACGGTAGTTAAAGTAAACGTTTATAATTAAACTAACAAAGCACAAAATGACAGGGAAAAGGGAATACCAAAAAACAGGAACAGACTTCAAAGTAAAATGTCCAGAAAACATATCAACAATAAATGTTGGGAAAACCCAACATGAGTCTCATATAGTTACATATATTTTTATATTTATTAATCCATTAAATGTTTATGAATATACAAGCAAAGTTATTCATTTAACTGTTCTCATTTAAATCTCATCAAAAGAAACATTTTAGATTTTTTCAAACTTTCAATTATATATTTTAATATCTACAATATTACCTACAATCTAATTTCCAAATAGACAGCATCTCAAATGGAAATGCCAAACTAAGTTAACATAATGGACCCAGTGATAACTTTAGTTGATAATTAACAAGGGAAAATCACAACACCTTTAAAAAGTTCAAGTCTCTGACATGAAATAATGGATACTGCAATACCCACAAAAGATCTGGAAATTTTATCATCAGAATACAAAGGCGCAAGTAAATTATTCACATGAAAACTGGCCTCATTTCAAGGACTTACCTTCTTTTTGTCCCTCATTGAGCCTTTGCCTCGGACCATTATTTTACATCCTGTCTCTGCTTCGAGCTGTTTAGCCGTAAGTCCTCTAGGTCCAAGGATTCTCCCAACAAAATTAAACTGGAAAAAAAAAAGTCACCATACATTATTTACTTTCTTGAATCTGTAGTTAAAATTAATTTTTAAGTATATATTAACTTTCTCAAAAATTTTTAATACTAAATTGAAACAAAATCTTAAAGACTATGAATTTCTTAGCTAGTATGGGGATGTAATTACAATAACTCATCATTTAGCATGAAATTTTTGTATGTATTAACACGAATTAAGAAAAACAACATCTACCTGAAATAGGCAGTATACTGAACTGGGCAGCAACATGTAATCTAAGCAAATTTCAGAGTCTATGCAAGAGTTTTTGATCTTAGATGCCATCCAAGAATGCAAATCTCGGCTACAAAACTCGGTAATGATGGTGTTTAGGGAACTGCTCATTATATTAAATACAGATTGTTTTAATGGAAATCCTAATGGGAAAATTCCTGTTTCATTTATCTAACAAAGCAAGCTACCGTTTCTCCAAAGCAAAGGCTGAGAGAGAACTGTACTTTTGGGTTGGCTGCCAGGACTGAAAGTCAAATGTGGATTTCTCTCTTAATTAATGTTTAAATCTTGAGAGCACACTATTTTTCACCACATTCCCTGCACAATTTTATGCCTGTATCCATAGGAATTTCTTCCAGTTTTTCCTTTAAGTTAGAATATTTTTGCAAGAGAAGCTATAACTCTTTTCATAATTATGACAGCGATAAAAACAATGGTATAAATGAAGAATTATCATCCCTTGACAGAAACTTCTAGCATGAACATATTTTTTTTTTTAAAAGACCAATGGGAAAACATATTGACACTGGATATTAGGAAGTAAATTTTCCTCATTCACATGTCATCTGCGTAACAGACCAAAAAATGAAGATTTAACAAGAAAGAGTTCCACAAAATCCCATGGGTGGTTTCATTTATTTATTCAACCAATAGATACTGATTCTTATGCTTACAGAATCTCGCTGTTTTCTTGTCTTCGAGGCTACTGTAAATTTGTCATTACATCAAAGCACTGTGCTAGAACTAACTATGGCCAGGGCTTAAGATGTAATGTTACTAATGCTAAGTGAAGTCAGTCAGAAGAAGGGTAAATTCCAGATGGTGTCACTAATGTGTGGAATACTGAGAAACCAAACTAAGACTCAGATACAGAAAAACTTGAAAACTGAACCTTGAAAGCTAACTACAGAATCGAAGCATCCAGAAGGTGCCAAAGATTTGTGGACAGCTCTACCGTGAGAGACGGGATGCGAAGAAGAAGCAGGACAAGGGACTGCTCCTTTAGGGCAAGGACTGCTGGGAAAGAAGACACTGTCTGCAGAGAACGCCGTCAGTGAGTAGTGCCAAGCTAGCTTCTAAAGGGCTGCACATATGTTCCCAAAAGAAAAGGAATTTGTTTTGATCCACTTCCTCTCCAACACTTCTTATTGCCAACATTTTTTATTTTGATCATTCTGATATATTTGCTGAATGTGTGAATTAGCATTCCCTTGAGTGCTGGTAAATCTGATCATTCTTTCTTGTTTATCGGCCATGCAGATAAACTTTTATTTGATGTGCAACTGAAGTTTCCTAACTATTTTTCTACCATGTTTGTTTAGCTTCTTATTAACGATCTCCACTTGGTGGTCATATGTAGGGAATAATGTTTCCCACCCTGTGGCTTGCCTCCTTACGCTCTACTGTGTAATATGATGGCAGGATTTAATCAAATTGAATTTAATTAAAATACATTTAATTTTAGTGTGGTTCAGGATATCAGTTTTCTCTTCATGGTCAATGTTTTGTGATGACTAGGTTAAAGGAAGGCTTTCCCCCAACCAAAAGTCATCAAGATATCTTTATTTGTTATGCCTCTCACATTTTATGAATTGCTATCTGTGGAGACAACTTTCTTCAACTCTTACCTTGATACCCAAATGCCACAGGGCATTTTCATGAAAAGACTATCCTATCTCAACTGTTCTACAGTGCCATCATTGCCATAGTAACTATTTATTTAGGGTCTGGGGTCTACGTGTGCATTCTCAATTTTATTACATGAATTTATTTATCTTTGCTTTAATATCGCTGTATTATGTAACTTTCTAATAAACTCTGATAAGCAATATGGCACATCATTCCTACTTCCTGTTCTTCAACAATGTCTCACTGATTTATGATCCTTTGTGTTTCTACACAGATTTTAGAAATACTCTTTCTAAAATAATACTTGCAATAATTTTAATTGGGATATTATAATAAAGCCTTCAAAACTACCAACAGTATAATCACCCCATTTGGTTAGGTCTTCTTTGATTTCTCTCAGGCTGCAAACCGTTTACACTAGAGTAATGCCTGACTTGTTGAATTTATTACTAGGTATTTCAGGATTTATTTTTGCTATTGTAGTGTAGCTCATCTTTTTATTTCATTTTTGTTGTTTATGAACACACATTGATTTTTCTTTATCAAAAATTGTATCCAGCAAACCTGTTTCTTCATTATTAATTCTCATAATTTTGTGTATGTTCTTTGGGATTCTTTAGATATACAACTGTATCGCTTGCAAACAGTGACTGCTAAATATATTTTTCTTTCCACTCATATTTTTTATAATTCTTTATCTTGCCATCCTTATGCCACTGGCCAGTGCATGTATGTTGAGTTCAAAGTCAAATGAAAGAGTATTACCCTTCACTTGCTTCAGATTCCAAGAATAGTTTTCAACAACTAGCCATAATAATTTAAAGTAATATGCAAACTTTAGATATATACTGCCAGATTAAGAGAATTTCCTTTCTTCCCCTACTTAGCTAAGTTGTTTTTTTAACCTCACTAGTGAATATTTAAATTATCCTATTTCTTCATCGTCTTTGAGAGAATCAAAATATTGCTCCTCTAGTCTGTTAATGCAGTGAATTACAAAAAATTATCAAATGTTAAACCAAGCTTACATTCCTAAAATAAACTCAACTTGATCATGACGCATTATTCTAAGTATAAATTGCTCTTCATTTGCTAGAATTTTGATGACTTGAACAAATTTTTACATTCACAAAACTTAACAAAGGAGGGGAAAGACACAATGAAAAACTGTAAGTCACTGTCACACGAAATACAAGAAAACACAAAGAAATGAAAAGATAGTTCATGCTCATGAATTAGAAGAATTAATATTGTTAAAAGGGCTAGCTTAACCAAGCAATAGAACAAACAATACTAAAATTTGTATGGAATCATAACAGACGCCAGCTAGCCAAAGCATTCCTAAGAAGAAAGGAGAAAAATGAAGGTATCATGCTCCCTGACTTCAAACTAACAAGAAAATAATCATCAAAACACGTTATTCAAATAAAAAAAAAAAACATATCAATAAAATAGAACTGAGACCTCAGAAATGAACCCACACATAAATGGACAACTAATTTCCAACAAAGGAGTCGAGAACATGTACCAAAAAAAGAGAAGTCTCTTCAACAAAGGTACTAGAAAAACTGGACAACCACATGCAAAAACACTTCAGCTGGATCACTACCTAACACCGTACACAAAAAATTTATTCCAAATGAACTAACGGCTTGGATGTAAGACCTGAAACCATAAAACACATAGAAGAAAAAGTAGAAACGTGGGCTATGTGCGCCGTGACACTGGACAAAGAAATGTCTTTGGAGACTCAAACCCAATGGTGAGGGAAACAAAAACAAAAACGAAAGTAAACAATGAGACTAGATCAAACTGAAAAGCTTCAGCAGAGCAAAAAAAAATAACAGGGAAATGAAAAGAGAGCCTCCTGGGCAGAAGACCTCTATGTACCACACGTCCGGCAAGGGGGTAAGGCTTACATACATAAAGAACTCGTACAATTCAACCGCCACAAAAACAGCCCCACCGAAAAGGGATGAAGAGGTGAGGAAGATATACAGAGAGCCAAAAGGCACAGGGATATTGCTATTTGTCATCAGGGAAATTCAGCTCAAAACCATAACGTAATTATGACCTCACATGCCTGTGAGGATGGCCCGCGTCAAGAAGGCTAGAACCTGCTGGCAAGAGTGCAAAGTACCAGGAACCCGTGGCAATAATAGAAACTGGTGAGGCCTCTGTGGAAAACAGATGGAGGCGCCTCAAAAAATTAAAAATTGAACTACCATGATTCAGCAATTTCCCTTCTAGGTACCTTTAGAATATGAAAATGCTCATTTGAAGAGATACTGACCCTTACCTTCATTGCAGCTGACACAGGGAAACCCCCGAGCGCCCACTGATGAGTGACTGGATAAAGCTGTCATAGAAACACAATGGCCTGCTACCCAGCTAGCAAAAATAAGATGAAACCTTGCGCTCTGAGACAACATAGGTGGAACCTGATACTATGTTAAACAAAGTAAGCCCAAAGGAGAAAGGCAAACACTGGGTAATTTCACTCACATGTGGAATACAGCGAAACAAAACAAATGACCAGAGTCACAGAAGCCTGTGCCCCTGACAGCAGGACGAAGCAGCAGTGGAGGGAGAGGCGCCCACTGTGAGGAGGCCCCCGCGCCTGCGTGGTCAGGTGGTACGGGGTGGATGAACACAGGAAAACCCCACAGACACAGTGTAACGAAACAATCTCACCTCAATTTAAAAAAAAAAAAAAATTGCATTCACAAATGGAACCGGCCTGCATTTTCCTTTTTATAATGTTTCTTGAGTATTGGAATCAAGGTTATTCTGGGCTCTGAACATGTTGGGATTCCTACCTCTTTTTCTACTCTCTCGATGGGTTTGTAGGAGACAGGTGCCATGTCTTCCTTAAATCCTGAATAGAAGACTGTGAAGACACCTGAGTGTTACTAAATAAGCTATTTTTGAATCATGATTTGGTTTCTTTAATTCAATTTTTTTTTATTCTCATATCAATTTTGGAAACTTCTGTTAATCTAAAAGCATGCCAATGTTCTTTAGATTTTCAAATTTATTAATTATAAAGCTTATGACTAATTTTGTTTGATTCCTCAAGCTCCCCAGCAGTGTCCCTTTTTCATCTG